ATAATTTCCAAACTCTAAAGTTTTAAAGAATAGTGAATGTTGACATGAGTGATTCTTGTAAAATGGGAAGTGGTCACAAATAATGGTTTTGGATTTGGGATTTGGACTTATAATGATAAAACCTAGCCCAATTACTTCAAGTTAGCCAACAAAGAATCAAGGACATGCTAAGGACAATATGCATTTTACTTTAGAAACCAACGACTACGTTTCTCACTTGACTTATGTCTAAGCAAGTTCAAAGTCCTAAGACATTCCCTAATATGTCTATTATGAGAGATATCTTAGTTTTAGGATGGAAATAGTCGCAACCTCTGGTTAAGGTCTTATGTCTAGGCTACTTAAGCGGAACCCTTATGTCTAAGGCGCTCCTCTCCTCGGTTTAACCACTCAACAATGCAAATAAGCAACCTTTTCAGTATTGACTTGTTAAGACTTACAGTGGCCTTCTCTAAATCCTAACTTTTTGGGAAAACATGTTGAGCAATGAATGGAAAGCAAAAACACTACTTCTTAGCAACCCTTATTAGAAATAAAAGGCTAACTATCCATAACCGGACTAGAGACGGGAATTTAGAAAGACATATTGAAGAAAATACCGCAAGTAAAATGGTTGAATGTGGAATGCATGTGTGAAAAACAAAAGTTAACTAACGGAGAGTTTTTCTCGGGATTGAGAGCTTCGCCCTTCTCTTTCAAGCAAGGGGGAGTGTCACGTGCTCTTTCCTCCAAAAACACAACTCTCTTAACTAAAAATAAAGTAAAGGCAAAGGGAAGATAAGCAAAGTGCTGGATTTTTATATATTTGAATAAGTAGAAAATAACTAAGTACAAATGGAAACAAAACAAAGCTCAATAAAGGAATGTAAAGTGCTCGAGATTTAAAAACCAAAAGCAACTAATGAAAGAACTCAAATGTACTTAGAAAGCAACAAAGAAACACTAAAAATGATCAAGAGAAGGAAGCAAGGCTTGATGCATTTGGTGGAGAAGCTGCTGGAATTTATAGCTGTGCAGAATTGGTTAGGTAGGTCCTAAAACGATGGTGAATCACCCATTTCCAACTCTTTTGACTGACCAAATCGTGCTCAAACTGATAGTGGAACACTTCTTCTACACGTATGCATCGGTTGGAACCACCAAAACGCATTGGAAGACGCGTTTCATTAAGGGCAAAGTTGGAAGAAAAACTGTTTTTCTGTAGGCTTCCCAGGCACCTGGCGCCTCCTATGTAGGTATTTCCGACTTTTTGCTTCTTTTGATTAGTTTCCACTTCCAAATGGTCCTAAAATGTCATAAATACAATATAAGCCAACCACAAACCATCATATATGAATTTTGCATGAATTGGAACTCAAATGACCGAGAAAAGTCCGAAACAAAGCTAATATAGTAAAACAGCATCTAAAACCTTCTTTTTACGCATGTAAACAAGCGTAATCAGTCTTTCAGGACTAAGCAAAGGAACAAGCTCGAGCTCTTCAGTTGGCGCGGATAACTCCCTTTTACCTACTCTTGGTAGGTTGGCCTCGGACTTCAGTAACTCGTCCTCGTTGACTTGTTCTTCTAGGGTGCACACTGGTGACCCTTTAAGTGCGGAGGCATAGCACTCCCTTGAAACTTTCTGCTCTCCTCGGACCGTGCCCACTCCATTAGGGGTTGAGAACTTCAGAATTGATGAAGTGTTGAGGGAACGACCCGGAATGCATGGATGATGGGTCTCCTGAAGATGGCATTATAGACCAATCTGCCGTCAATAACCACGAACTCGGCCATCTGAGTTACCTGCGTACTGTCTTGCCCAAACGTGACCGGCAAGTCAATACACCTTTCTGGGGAGACCGATTCTCCAGAGAATCCAACTAGCGGTGTCGGGCTTTTCTTTAATTGCG